GTAGTAGTAGTAGTAGTAGTAGTAGGCGTAGTAGTAGTAGTAGTAGTAGTAGTAGTAGTAGTAGTAGTAGTAGTAGTAGTAGTAGTAGTAGTAGTAGCAGTAGTAGTACCGCCTCGCTACACGGCAGGTGGGGGGTTGGCCGAGCCGACCCAACCCCCGACCTGAAGGACCGTCCAGTCCAGCTCTGGGCGCCAGGAGGACTCTAGAGCAGAGCCCCACGGGCCCCGAACCCTTGTCGGAGCCCCGCGGAGGCCAAAGGGCCCCCAACCCTCAGAGTTGGGGCCGCTCCGAGCCTGCAGGGCCCATACACAGTACGAGCCTTGCACGACAAGAAAAGGAGAGGGGCGCCCCCAACCCTCTTAGTCGGAGGACTCCCCTTCGATCACGTCGGGGTCTCCCTCGGACCTCCGAGCAGCACGCTGCCTGGCCGACCAGGAAAGGAAATCGGCCTCCTGCTCTGGCCCGACCCCAAAACGCTGCAGCGCACGCGAACGGGGCAAACGTGGCGCTGGGCTCGGCTGCCCAGTGCCCGTGGCCCTGCTGACCTCGGGGGCGGCGGGGGGCCCGAGCCTCTGGCAGAATTTCACTTGCCAGGCCTCGGAGGGAACGCGCTGCTCCCCGAGGCGCCATGCGCCACGGCCGCCCTTCACGCTAGGGAAGAGCCCTCTGCGAATCCTATCCGTCTGTGGCTCACGTCCTGCCCCCGAGCCGCACGGCCTCAGGATGCCCATCATGCGCTGGTGGGCATAGGCGTAGCACTTCACACAGTGGACCATGGTGGAGCCGTCCGTGCCAGGCCCAGTAATGGCCCTCTAGACGATGGCGTGGCCTCCGATCGACCAAGGCGTACGTGGTCGACGGGCCGCAGGGGGCTCATCGCCCTCCGCCGAGGCTCGCGCCGCTGCGAGGGCCACCCCCGCTGCTCCTGCAGCCGCCCAGGAGGCCTCGGCAGCGTGGCCGCCACTGGCCTCGGGCTCCTCGTAGCTCTCCTCGTGCTCCGCGAGCTCCAGGGTGACGTCGCTGGCGTGGTCGATCTGCTTCCGATCCGCCATGCGCGCGTGGAGCTTGCCCGTGAAGACCATCGCCAATCTGGCGATGGGATCGAGGCCGTAGGCGAAGTCCAGCTGGTCGTCTGCCAGCGCCAGCTTAGCGCCCTCCGTCGCTGCCTCGTCGGCGAGCTTGTTGCCTGCTTGCTGCCGCCAGGTCGTGCGATCAGTCTCCACGTCGGCAGCTGTGGCGTGGGCCAGCACCTTGGTGACAGTGTAGCTCCGTGAGCTGTCGAAGGAGGCGTAAAACGCGTTCCACATGTGGGCCCTCGGGGACCCAGGGCGGCATGCCCATGCTGCCCCCCCGCAGGGCGCAGGCCACCGTCCCTGAGCAGTCCGTCTGGAAGTCGATGTGGCCTTCGCAGAGGAACGCCGCCGTGTGGTAGGCGTAGTCCTCGCCGTCCCGCGCTTCCTGCCGCGGCGCCATGGAGAGGGGCACCCAACCCCATGCTGCAGCGACCATGCGCCCATGCCCGTCGCACTGCACGAGCGACCAGCCCGCGCGCTGCAGCTCTGGCCACCGCGTGCCGACCGCGCTGCCGTCGGTGAAGATGAGGCCTGTGAGATACCCCGAGGCTGGTCGCTGGAACCACCGAACTGGGTCTCCATCGGGGTCTCGCCTCGGGATCACTTGGTCAAGCGACGGGAAGAGGCACCTGCCGAACGTCTCGCCACAGTTGCCTCCTGCAGCCCGTGCCACCTCCGCGTGCCGAAGGAGCTCGGGCGATGCCTCGTCCTTGCGATAGGCCGCGTGACCATCGCAGCCGTGCAGCCTGTGCCAGATTGTGCCAGGAGCGCTCCTGCATATGAGGCATTCCCACTCTGAGGCCATGCCTCTCTTGTAGAGCCGCGACTGGGAAAGGGCCGTGCCTGAAATGACTGAGTGGAGTGCCGCCCGCTGGTGCTGCTGCCAGCCGAGCGACTCCTTGGTCCTGCCCAGGCGCTGCAGCGAGCCCCAGAAAAGCTCCGATCTCTGGTGGGGGTAGAGCCTGAAGGTGGCGTCGCGGTCCGACCACCTCTTGGCCGCGCCCTCTGCTAGCTCCTTGCTGAAGGGCGGCGAGACCCTGGCGAGGTCGACCTCTAACCCCTGGTCCGTGGTGACATACCTGCAGCCCTCGATGGACCAGCCGAGCCTGTTGATGGTGAGGAGAGAGGCTGCCACGGGGTCCCTGCAGGTTGCCCATGGCCGCTTCGCCGACACGAGCCGCTGCTTGGCCTTCTCCAGCAGCGTGCTGAGGGCGAACGGGGTGGGGTAGCCCAGCCAGGGCGCCATGCCGAACTGCAGCACGACCTGGCCCGCGTTCACCACCGCGGGGTCCCTCTCGATGCCTTTGGGGAAGCACCTCAGCCTCAGGCCGACTGAAGCACCTGGCGCAAATGGCCCTTCACCGCGCGCTGCAGCCACACGTAGCCCATGTAGGACCGAGGGGGCGAGGCCAGTCGGGGCTGAGCCCCGGGTGGCGGCTGCCGTGGGGCCGCCCCTCTGCGCCGTGGCGACCTTAGCGTCAGCCGTCCTCTGTATCTGCAGCCGCCGAGTCCTGGCCAGCGCATCCTCAACGCGCTGTGCCCCGATGGCTGTGCGCCTCCAGCGCCCGTCGTGCACGTCGTTCCCCAGCAGCCTGCCACGCTGCGCCCTGCCGTCCTCGGCGGGCCACTCCGACTCCAGCTGTCTCGCAACATCTGCGTCGTGTGTGAGGTAGCATAGCTTCCCGAAGTGGACGGGCACCCGCTTCTCGTCAAATCAGCCCGACAGCATGCGCATGGCGGGTCCTATCACAGCCTTCACCATGCCCGTGGTGCCAGCCGTCTGGAGCGTGAAGTCGTCGACGACGCTGCCCGGCCGCACGCTGGGGTAGAAGGCCGCGACCTTCTTGCAGGACCTGAAGAGAAGGAGCTTGGCAATGCCCGTAGCGCATGAACAGTCTGCGAGCACCGTGCCCGTAGCCCGAGAGGGCGCGCTGCAGGCCCCGTCCACCGTGATGACCCTGTAGCCCGAGTACGTGACGCAGCAGGCCCTGAGGAGCTTGACTGGGAAGCCCGTAGAGTTCGCATCCACCAAGAGCTCCTTGTGGCTGATGTTCTCGTAGAACTTCCGCAGGTCGCCCAGGGCCGTGCCCGTGCTGAGGCCTTTCTCGTAGGCCAGGGCTGTTAGGGTCTGGTGTACCCAGCCAGCCCTCTCGCACGTGTTGAGCTCGCCTCCGATGTACCATGCCTCGTGGTGCTTCGCCTCCCATTCCCTGACGATGGGCCCTCGCATGGCCGACCAGAGCCGAATCTGCAGGCAGGTGAGCGCAATTGGCCTCCTGCCACCGTCGGCCGTGGCGGGGAAGACAATGGCCGAGAGCCAGTCCAGGTAGGCCTCGGGCGCGTCCTCCCAGCTGGCCAGCACCTCCAAGAGCCTGACAAGGAAGGACTCGCCCAAGCGGAGCAGCTGCCTCGGGTGGAGCTGGTCCCATCCCAGGCCAGCCCACCTCCCGTGCCGCTTCAGCAGGTACCTGAGGCTGTCCACCTCAAGGTGTGGCAGCGGCTCGGTTGCCTCCCAGCTGGCCGCCTCCTCGAGCCCTCCTCGCCGTCGAGGGTCGCGCCAGAGCGGGGGCCACTCCTTGAGGCAGTGCTGCACTGCCTCGTCGCCGTTGACGGGAAGCGCGTCGCCCTCATCCTCGTCAGCCGTGACGAGGGTCGCCTTGGCCAGCGGCTCAGGCTTGGAGAACCGATGGGCCAGCTTCCCCCCGCCTGTGGCCGCGCCCTTGGCCCAGGCCTGCCACTGCTTCCTGGCTGCTGCAGCGTCGCTGCGCTGGCTGGCCTGGTGCTGAGCCCTGGCGTGCTCGATGAGCCTCCTCCTCAATGCCGCGTCGCTGGAGGTAGCTGCGGCGCCCAGCTTCCCCCTGGGCACAGGGCCACAGCTGCCGTCGTAGTCGGCCAGGCGCATCGCATTCAGGCGGCTGCCCAGGCTGGCCAAGCCCTGGGAGTCCTTCCCTCGCGCCGCCAGCAGGTCGGCCCGCTGCAGCAGGCTGACAAGACCGCCCCAGGCGTGGGTTTCCTGCGAGCTGAGCTGTGCCCAGCGGCGACGGCTGGCGTCGGCGATCGAGACGTTGACGAGGCGCACTCCGTCCGCCTTGCCTGCGAACTTCTGAGCCTCGTCGCCGTACAGGTCGTAGAGCGGGAGAAGGTAGCCCTCGGCATGCCTGAGCCACTCCTGCATGGCAGCCCTCGGGCTAGGGGGGGCCGTGCCCTCTTCCCAGGTCCAGGCAGGCAGCGGGGCCCAGGGAGTGCAGCCGATGGCCCGATCATACGGCAGCCGCACTGTGCGGTGTAGCTGCTGCACCGTGGCGTCCGCATGCAGCCCTCGAACTTCCGACAGGACGGGGCTGTGCGGCCCGACCGGGGCTTCGACCACTGGCCCGTGGCTGAACACGAAGTGCTGGAGCTCGTCGGAGATGATCGCGTAGTCCAGCTCACTGAGCGCCCCCGCCCTGCAGGTCGCCGTACCTGTATGCAGCGCGAGTCCTCCAGCCGTAGCCGCCCACGCCGCGATCTGGAGGGGATCCACGTTGAAGTCGCCAGCTAGAATCCACGGCCGAGCCGCCACTCTGAGCTGCGACGCTACGTCCCATAGGATGTCTGCGTTGGCCTCGCTCATGCCCTCGCCGTCGCGAAGGTAGACCGACATGAGATCGATGGCGAGCCCGTCGCCTATGTTGACCACCCGTCTGAGTACGCGGTGGGGCTGCCTGAACTTGGCGTCGATCGTGGCGACCGCAAGCCGCTGCCGCGCACCGATGCCCACCCCGCCTGAGACAGACAGTGGCCCTTCACCCGTGCTGAGCCCTGCAGCCAGGTCGAAGTCGAAGCCACGTTTGCGATGCCACCGCTGGACTGCCTCTCTGCCGCCTTCACGCGCCCGCGTCTCCTGCGCGAAGGTGATGTCTGCAGCTGGCCGCCTCGTCGGCCCTGCCACGCCGAGACTGTGCAGGCCGTCCAGCCAGTCGAGGAAATCCCGATATCCCTTCTCGGTGTTTGCATCGACCGTGTAGAGCCACAGGCTATCAAACCCGAGGCCTCTTGAACTGTGCCCCGATGAGGTCGCTGATGCGCTTGCGCCGCTGCTCGTGACTCTCGCCTTCTGGGGCGTCCTCCATGAGACTGTCGACCAGCTCGTCGGGGACGGGTGCGGACTCTCCTCCTGGCTCAGCATTGCAAGGGACCTCCTCGTGGCTATCCCCATCGCCGCCGCCAGCAGCACCAGCAGCAGGTGCAGCGTCGTCGGCAGCTTCCAGAGACTCCTGCTCCTTCTTGACGACGTCCTGCAACTGGATGAGTCCGTGGAGTACTGCCTGGTTCTCCACTGCCGTAGCCTTGAACTGCTCGAGGACCTTGGCCAAGCCCCTGAGCCCGTCGCCGAGGACGCCTGCGGCGTGGCGGGACTCGATCTCGTTGTCGGCCGCCTGCAGCTTGCCCTTGAGCACAGCGACCGAGTCTTTGGCCTAGCCGATCCGCAGGTCGAGCTTGGCACGCTGGTTCTCGAGCTCTGCGACCTTGCCGAGCGCCTTCTGGAGCTGCCCCTCGAGCTTCCTGCGTTGCCCTTCGAGGGCTGGAAGGCTCTTGGGCTTGGGCGGCTCTGAGTACTTGGCCTCCACAGCTTTGACGCAGCTCGAGGCCTGCTCGCCTCCCCCGAGCTTCTGGAGCTCCTCCTTGAGGTCACTGAGGGCTGTGAGCTTGGCCTTGGCGCTGTCCGCCTTGAGCGCCTCGACCTGCTGCCGAAGGGCGGCCAGCTCGCTGTCCTGGCGCTGGAGCTTGTCATGCTCCCACGGGGCCAGCTTCTGCCGCGCCCAGACCCCGCGGGGCTGCGGGTGGCTGCCCGGCTTGGGCCCGCCCTTGAACGCCTCCTCGTGCGCCTTCCTGGCAGCGTCCTCAACCTTGGTGGAGCACCGCCTGTCGCACTCTCTGCACCTGAGCCTGCTTGCCCAGTTGGATGCGCATCCACAGGAGCAGAGCCAGAGCGGCAGCTTGGGCCCGCGGAGCATTACTCCTGCCCCCTCGGGTCCGTTGCGCCCATGGCTGGCCATAGCGCGCGAGGACTGGGGCAACTGACTGGATCGCACTGAATCGTTGAAAAGGATTTTGGCCCCGCCAGCACTCCCCCAGAGTGCTCGCAGCGCCACTTCGTGACTTGCACCCGTGGGAATGCATGGCCTTGAGCCAAAATGGCTACGGAGTAGCAGCAGTAGTAGTAGTAGTAGTAGTAGTAGTAGTAGTAGTAGTAGTGATCGTAGTAGTCGTAGCAGTAGTAGTAGTAGTAGTAGTAGTAGTAGTAGTAGTAGTAGTAGTAGTAGTCGTAGTAGTAGTAGTAGTCGTAGTAGTAGTAGTAGTAGTAGCAGTAGTAGTAGTAGTAGTAGTAGTAGTAGTAGTAGTAGTAGTAGTAGTATTTTTATTATTATTAGTAGTAGTAGTAGTAGTAGTAGTAGTAGTAGTAGTAGTAGTAGTAGTAGTAGTAGTAGTAGTAGTAGTAGTAGTAGTAGTAGTAGTAGTAGTAGTAGTAATAGTAGTAGTAGAAGTAGTATTCGTAGTAGTAGTAGTATGAGCAGTAGAACTGGTAGTAGTAATAGTAGTAGTAGTAGTAGTAGTAGGAGTAGGAGTAGTAGTAGTAGTAGTAGTAGTAGTAGTAGTAGTAGTAGTAGTAGTAGTAGTAGTAGTAGTAGTAGTAGTAGTAGTAGTTAGTAGTAGTAGTAGTAGTAGTAGTAGTAGTAGTAGTAGTAGTAGTAGTAGTAGTAGTAGTAGTAGTAGTAGTAGTCGTAGTCGTAGTCGTAGTCGTAGTCGTAGTCGTAGTCGTAGTCGTAGTCGTAGTCGTAGTCGTAGTCGTAGTCGTAGTCGTAGTCGTAGTCGTAGTCGTAGTCGTAGTCGTAGTCGTAGTCGTAGTCGTAGTCGTAGTAGTAGTAGTAGTAGTAGTAGTAGTAGTAGTAGTAGTAGTAGGTAGTAGCCGTAGTCGTAGTCGTAGTCGTAGTAGTAGTAGTAGTAGTAGTAGTAGTAGTAGTAGTAGTAGTAGTAGTAGTAGTAGTAGTAGTAGTAGTAGTAGTAGTAGTAGTAGTAGTAGTAGTAGTAGTAGTAGTAGTAGTAGTAGTAGTAGTAGTAGTAGTACCGCCTCGCTTCACGGCAGGTGGGGGGTTGGCCGAGCCGATCCAACCCCAGACCTGAAGGACCGTCCAGTCCAGCTCTGGGCGCCAGGGCACTCTAGAGCAGAGCCTCACGGGCCCCGAACCCTTGTCGGAGCCCCGCGGAGGCCAAAGGGCCCCCAACCCTCAGAGTTGGGGCCACTCCGAGCCTGCAGGGCCTATACACAGTGCGAGCCTTGCATGGCCAGAAAAGGAGAGGGGCGCCTCCAACCCTCTTAGTCGGAGGACTCCCCTTCGATCACGTCGGGGTCTCCCTCGGACCTCCGACCAGCACGCTGCCTGGCCGACCAGGAGAGGAAGTCGGCCTCCTGCTCTGGCCCGACGCCAAACGCTGCAGCGCTCGCGAACGGGGCAAACGTGGCGCTGGGCCCAGCGGCCCGCTGCCCGTAGCCCTGCTGGCCTCGGGGGCGGCGGTGGGCCCGAGCCTCTGGCCGAATTTCACTTGCCAGGCCTCGGAGGGAAAGCGCTGCTCCCCGAGGCGCAATGCACCACGGCCGCCCTTCACACTAGGGAAGAGCCCTCTGCGAATCCTATCCGTCTGTGGCTCACGTCCTGCCCCCGAGCCGCATGGCCTCAGGATGCCCATCATGCGCTGGTGGGCATAGGCGTAGCACTTCACGCAGTGGACCATGGTGGAGCCGTCCGTGCCAGGCCCCGTGATGGCCCTCTCGACGATGGCGTGGCCTCCGATCGACCAAGGCGTACGTGGTCGTCGGGCCGCAGGGGGCTCGTCGCCCTCCGCCGAGTCTCGCGCCGCTGCGAGGGCCACTACCGCTGCTCCTGCAGCCACCCAGGAGGCCTCGGCAGCGTGGCCACTACTGGCCTCGGGCTCCTCGTAGCTCTCCTCGTGCTCCGCGAGCTCCAGGATGACGTCGCTGGCGTGGTCGATCTGCTTCCGATCCGCCATGCGCGCGTGGAGCTTGCCCGTGAAGACCATCGCCTGTCTTGCGATGAGATCGAGGCCGTAGGCGAAGTCCAGCTGGTCTTCTGCCAGCGCCAACTTAGCGCCCTCCTTCGCTGCCTCGTCGGCGAGCTTGTTGCCTGCTCGTTGCCACCAGGTCGTGCGATCAGCCTCCACGTCGGCAGCTGTGGCGTGGGCCAGCACCTTGGTGACAGTGTAGCTCCGTGAGCTGTCGAAGGAGGCGTAGAACGCGTTCCACATGTGGGGCCTCGGGGACCCAGTGCGGCATGCCCATGCTGCCCCCCGCAGGGCGCAGGCCACCGTCCCTGAGCAGTCCGTCCGGAAGTCGATGTGGCCCTCGCAGAGGAACGCCGCCATGTGGTAGGCGTAGTCCTCGCCGTCCCGCGCTTCCTGCCGCGGCGCCATGGAGAGGGGCACCCAACCCCATGCTGCAGCGACCATGCGCCCATGCCCGTCGCGCTGCACGAGCGACCAGCCCGCGCGCTGCAGCTCTGGCCACCGCGTGCCGACCGCGCTGCCGTCGGTGAAGATGAGGCCTGTGAGGTGCCCCGAGGCTGGTCGCTGGTACCACCGAACTGGGTCTCCATCGGGGTCTCGCCTCGGGATCACATGGTCGAGCGATGGGGAGAGGCACCTGCCGAACATCTCGCCGCAGTTGCCTCCTGCAGCCCGTGCCACCTCCGCGTGCCGAAGGAGCTCGGGCGAGGCCTCGTCCTTGCGATAGGCCGCGTGGCCATCGCAGCCGTACAGCCCGTGCCAGATTGTGCCAGGTGCGCTCCTGCATATGGGGCATTCCCACTCTGAGGCCATGCCTCTCTTGTAGAGCCGCGACTGGGAAAGCACCGTGCCTGAGATGACTGAGTGGAGTGCCGCCCGCTGGTGCTGCTGCCAGCCGAGCGACTCCTTGGTCCTGCCCAGGCGTTGCAGCGAACCCCAGACAAGCTCCGAGCTCTGGTGGGGGTAGAGCCTGAAGGTGGCGTCGCGGTCCGACCACCTCTTGGCCGCGCCCTCTGCTAGCTCCTTGCTGAAGGACGGCGAGACCCTGGCGAGGTCGACCTCCAACCCCTGGTCCGTGGTGGCATGCCTGCAGCCCTCGATGGACCAGCCGAGCCTGTTGATGGTGAGGAAAAAGGCTGCCACGGGGTCCCTGCAGGTTGCCCATGGTCGCTTCGCCGACACGAGCCTCTGCTTGGCCTTCTCCAGCAGCGTGCTGAGGGCGAACGGGGTGGGGTAGCCCAGCCAGAGCGCCATGCCGAACTGCAGCACGACCTGGCCCGCGTTCACCACCGCGGGGTCCCTCTCGGTGCCTTTGGGGAAGCACCTCAGCCTCAGGCCGACTGAAGCACCTGGCGCAAAGGGCCCTTCACCACGCGCTGCAGCCACACGTAGCCCGTGCAGGACCGAGGGGGCGAGGCCAGTCGTGGCTGAGCCCCAGGTGGCGGCTGCCGTGGGGCCGCCCCTCTGCACCGTGGCGACCTTAGCGCCAGCCGTCCTCAGTATCTGCAGTCGCCGAGACCTGGCCAGCGCATCCTCGACGCGCTGTGCCCCGATGGCTGTGCGCCTCCAGCGCCCGTCGTGCACGTCGTTCCCCAGCAGCCGGCCACGCTGCGTCCTGCCGCCCTCGGCGGGCCACTCCGACCCCAGCTGTCTCGCAACCTCCGTCGGGTGTGAGGTAGCATAGCTTCCCGTAGTGGACGGGCACCCGCTTCTCGTCAAGGCAGCCCAGCAGCATGCGCATGGCGGGTCCTAGCACAGCCTTCACCATGCCCGCGGTGCCGACCGTCTGGAGCGTGAAGTCGTCGGCGACGCTGCCCAGCCGCACGCTGGGGTAGAAGGCCGCGACCTTCTTGAAGGACCTGAAGAGGAGAAGCTTGGCAATGCCCGTAGCGCATGAACAGCCTGCGAGCACCGTGCCCGTAGCCCGAAAGGGCGCGCTGCAGGCCCCGTCGACCGTGATGACCCTGTAGCCCGAGTACGTGACGCAGCAGGCCTTGAGGAGCTTGACTGGGAAGCCCGTAGAGTCCGCCTCCACCAAGAGCTCCTTGTGGCTGATGTTCTCGTAGAACTTCCGCAGGTCGCCCAGGGCCGTGCCCGTGCTGAGGCCTTTCTCGTAGGCCAAGGCTGTTAGGGTCTGGTGTACCCAGCCAGCCCTCTCGCACGTGTTGAGCTCGCCTCCGGTGTACCAGGCGTCATGGTGCTTCGCCTCCCATTCCCTGACGATGGGCCCTCGCATGGCCGACCAGAGCCGAATCTGGAGGCAGGTGAGCGCAATTGGCCTCCTGCCACCGTCGGCCTTGGCGCGGAAGACGATGACAGAGAGCCAGTCCAGGTAGGCCTCGGGCGCGTCCTCCCAGCTGGCCAGCACCTCGAGGAGCCTGACAAGGAAGGGCTCGTCCAAGCGGAGCAGCTGCCTCGGGTGGAGCTGGTCCCATCCCAGGCCAGCCCACCTCCCGTACCGCTTCAGCAGGTACCTGAGGCTGTCCACCTCGAGGTGCGGCAGCGGCTCGGTTGTCTCCCAGCTGGCCGCCTCCTCGAGCCCTTCTCGGCGTCGAGGGTCGAGCCAGAGCGGGAGCCACTCCTTGAGGCAGTGCTGCGCTGCCTCGTCGCCGTTGACGGGGAGCGCGTCGCCCTCGTCCTCGTCTGCCGTGACGAGGGTCGCCTTGGCCAGCGGCTCGGGCTTGGAGAAGCGATGGGCCAGCTTCCCCCCGCCCGTGGCAGCACCCTTGGCCCAGGCCTGCCACTGCTTCCTGGCTGCTGCGGCGTCGCTGCGCTGGCTGGCCTGGTGCTGAGCCCTGGCGTGCTCGATGAGCCTCCTCCTCAATGCCGCGTCGCTGGAGGTAGCTGCGGCGCCCAGCTGTCCCCTGGGCACAGGGCCACAGCTGCCGTCGTAATCGGCCAGGCGCATCGCATTCAGGCGGCTTCCCAGGCTGGTCAAGCCCTGTGAGTCCTTACCTCGCGCCGCCAGCAGGTCGGCCCGCTGCAGCAGGCTGACAAGACCGCCCCAGGCGTGGGTTTCCTGCGAGCTGAGCTGTGCCCAGCGGCGACGGCTGGCGTCGGCGATCGAGACGTTGACGAAGCGCACTCCGTCCGCCCTGCTTGCGAACTTCTGAGCCTCGTCGCCGTGCAGGTCGTAGAGCGGGAGAAGGTAGCCCTCGGCATGCCTGAGCCACTCCTGCATGGCAGCCCTCGGGCTAGGGGGGACCGTGCCCTCTTCCCAGGTCCAGGCAGGCAGCGGTACCCAGGGAGTGCAGCCGATGGCCCGATCAAACGGCAGCCGCGCTGTGCGGTGTAGCTGCTGCACCGTGGCGTCCGTATGCAGCCCTCGAACTTCCAACAGGACGGGGCTGTGCGGCCCGATCGGGGCTTCGACCGCTGGCCCGTGGCTGAACACGAAGTGCTGGAGCTCGTCGGAGATGATCGCGTAATCCAGCTCCCTGAGCGCCCCCGCCCTGCAGGTCGCCGTACCTGTATGCAGCGCGAGTCCTCCAGCCGTGGCCGCCCACGCCGCGAGCTGGAGGGGGTCCATGTTGAAGTCGCCAGCTAGAATCCACGGCCGAGCAGCCACTCTGAGCTGCGACGCTACGTCCCATAGGATGTCTGCGTTGGCCTCGCTCATGCCCTCCCCGTCGCGAAGGTAGACCGACATGAGTTCGATGGCGAGCCCGTCGCCTATGTTGACCACCCGTCTGAGCACGCGGTGGGGCTGCTTGAACTTGGTGTCGATCGTGGCAACCGCAAGCCGCTGCCGCACGCCGATGCCCACCCCGCCTGAGACAGACAGTGGCCCTTCACCCGTGCTGAGCCCTGCAGCCAGGTCGAAGTCGAAGCCGCGTTTGCGATGCCACCGCTGGACTGCTTCTCTGCCGCCTTCACGCACCCGCGCCTCCTGCACGAAGGTGATATCTGCAGCTGGCCGCCTCGTCGGCCCTGCCACGCCGAGACTGTGCAGGCCGTCCAGCCAGTCGAGGAAGTCCCGATATCCCTTCTCGGTGTTCGCATTGACCGTGTAGAGCCACATGCTATCAAACCCGAGGCCTCTTGAACTGTGCCCCGATGAGGTCGCTGATGCGCTTGCGCCGCTGCTCGTGACTCTCGCCTTCTGGGGCGTCCTCCATGAGACTGTCGACCAGCTCGTCGGGGACGGGGGCGGACTCTCCTCCTGGCTCAGCATTGCAAGGGACATCCTCGTGGCTATCCCCATCGCCGCCGCCAGCAGCACCAGCAGCATGTGCAGCGTCGTCGACAGCATCCAGAGACTCCTGCTCCTTCTTGACGACGTCCTGCAACTGGATGAGTCCGTGGAGTACTGCCTGGTTCTCCACTGCCGTAGCCTTGAACTGCTCGAGGACCTTGGCCAAGCCCCTGAGCCCGTCGCCGAGGACGCCTGCGGCGTGGCGGGACTTGATCTCGGCGTCGGCCGCCTGCAGCTTGCCCTTGAGCTCAGCGACCGAGTCTTTGGCTTCACCAATCCGCAGGTCGAGCTTGGCACGCTGATCCTCGAGCTCTGCGACCTTGCCGAGCGCCTTCTGGAGCTGCCCCTCGAGCTTCCTGCGCTGCCCTTCGAGGGCTGGAAGGCTCTTGGGCTTGGGCGGCTCTGAGTACTTGGCCTCAACAGCTTTGACGCAGCTCGTGGCCTGCTCGCCTCCCCCGAGCTTCTGGAGCTCCTCCTTGAGGTCGCTGAGGGCTGTGATCTTGGCCTTGGCGCTGTCCGCCTTGAGCGCCTCGACCTGCTGCCGAAGGGCGGCCAGCTCGCTGTCCTGGCGCTGGAGCTTGTCATGCTCCCACGGGGCCAGCTTCTGCCGCGCCCAGGCCCCGCGGGGCTGCGGGTGGCTGCCCGGCTTGGGCCCGCCCTTGATCGCCTCCTTGTGCGCCTTCCTGGCAGCGTCCCCAACCTTGGTGGAGCACCGCCTGTCGCATTCTCTGCACCTAAGCCTGCTTGCCCAGTTGGATGCGCACCCACAGGAGCAGAGCCAGAGCGGCAGCTTGGGCCCGCGGAGCACCGCGCCTGCCCCCTCGGGTCCGTTGCGCCCATGGCTGGCCATAGCGCGCGAGGACTGGGGCAACTGACTGGATCGTTCTGAATCGTTGAAGAGGATTTTGGCCCCGCCAGCACTCCCCCAGAGTGCTCGCAGCGCCACTTCGTGACTTGCACCCGCTGGGAGTGCATGGCCTTGAGCCAAATTTGCTACGGAGTAGTAGTAGTAGTAGTAGTAGTAGTAGTAGTAGTAGTAGTAGTAGTAGTAGTAGTAGTAGTAGTAGTAGTAGTAGTAGTAGTAGTAGTAGTAGTAGTAGTAGTAGTAGTAGTAGTAGTAGTAGTAGTAGTAGTAGTAGTAGTAGTAGTAGTAGTAGTAGTAGTAGTAGTAGTAGTAGTAGTAGTAGTAGTAGTAGTAGTAGTAGTAGTAGTAGTAGTAGTAGTAGTAGTAGTAGTAGTAGTAGTAGTAGTAGTAGTAGTAGTAGTAGTAGTAGTAGTAGTAGTAGTAGTAGTAGTAGTAGTAGTAGTAGTAGTAGTAGTAGTAGTAGTAGTAGTAGTAGTAGTATAGTAAGTCGAGTGTTGTAGTCGTAGTCGTAGTCGTAGTCAAGTCGTAGTCGTAGTCGTAGTCGTATAGTAGTCGTAGTCGTAGTCGTAGTCGTATTCGTAGTAGTAGTAGTAGTAGTAGTAGTAGTAGTAGTCGTAGTAGTAGTAGTAGTAAGTAGTAGTAGTAGTAGTAGTAGTAGTAGTAGTAGTAAGTAGTAGTAGTAGTAGTAGTAGTAGTAGTAGTAGTAGTAGTAGTAGTAGTAGTAGTAGTCGTAGTAGTAGTAGTAGTAGTAGTAGTAGTAGTAGTAGTAGTAGTAGTAGTAGTAGTAGTAGTAGTAGTAGTAGTAGTAGTAGTAGTAGTAGTAGTAGTAGTAGTAGTAGTAGTAGTAGTAGTAGTAGTAGTAGTAGTAGTAGTGGTAGTAGTAGTAGGTAGTATTGTCGTAGTCGTCGTTAGTCGTCGTAAGTAGTCGTACAGTCGTAGTCGTAGTCGTAGTAGTCAGTAGTAGTAGTCGTAGTAGTAGTAGTAGTAGTAGTAGTAGTAGTAGTAGTGTAGTAGTAGTAGGTAGCAGTAGGTTAGTAGGAGCATAGGAGTAGGAGCAGAGGCAGGAGCAGGACAGGCAGGAACAGGAGCAGGAGCAGGAGCAGGAGCAGGAGCAGGAGCAGGAGCAGGAGCAGGAGGAGGAGCAGGAGCAGGAGCAGGAGCAGGAGCAGGAGCAGGAGCAGGAGGAGGAGGAGGAGGAGGAGGAGGAGGCGGAGGCGGAGGCGGATGCGAAGGCGGAGGCGGAGGCGGAGGAGGATCACTGACCAAACTGCCAGGTCTGCGAGCAGGCCGCCATTGAGCAGTCCCTCGGCGCCGTTGGCCGCTTTTGGGACTGCCAATGGGGGACACCCATTGCTTGGGGAGACCCCAACTCGCAGCCTGTTCATGGGGGATGCTAGCGAGGTCCCGCCCTGGCTAGCAGCCCCACGTCGACAGCAAGCTTGGGCTACCAGCCCTGGGACGGGGGAGGGGGAGGAAGAGAGGAGAGCGCAAGGGTGGGAGGACAGTGGGAGCCGGAGGGAACCTTGATGCTCTCCTCGCGCGGGCAGACTGGGGCGGAAACGGCCCGCGTGCTGGCCGTCGTCGTCGTCGTCGTTGTCGTCGTCGTGGGGCCCTTGTCGCTCCCTCCGCCATCCCCCTCTTCGGCTACCCCTGTCCGATGAGGCGGATGGAGAAGGTATCTCCACCCCTCTGAGGGATGAATGGGGGAATGAGAAGGGGGAAGGGGGGGCAGACGAGGCGGGGGAGAGCGAGGAGGCAGGATGGTGTCCGGCCTCTGGAGAGCTGGGCGGTAGGGTTGGGACTGGCTTGGGTTAGAGAAGGGATGTGGGGACGGGAGTGCTTCGTTGGTGGCTACGCCTGAGCAGTCTGGACCCAGCCTACATGGATCCCCCTCGTGTTGGCAATATCTTGCCTACCTAGTGCGGCGTGCTACCAGAACTCAAGGCTTCTGTGTTGAGTCGGGCAAGCCGAAACAACGGACCGCAGGCTAGATGGGTATGCGCAGCGTAGCCGTAGCCCACAATCCTAGCAGAGTTCCAGTGCGGACGGCACTAGTCTTGCCTACCTAGTACTGCTTGCCACCAGAACTCCGGCCTTATTTGTTGAGTCGGACCAGCCGAAACAACGGACCGCAGGCTAGATGGGTATGCGTAGCATAGCCGTAGCCCACAGTCCTGGCAGAGTTCCAGGGCGGACGGCGCTAGCCTTACCTGCCTAGTGCGGCTTTCTGCCAAAACTCCTGCCTTGTTTGTTGAGTCGGACCAGCCGAAACAACGGGCCGCAGGATAGATGGGTATGCGAAGCATAGCCGAAGCCCGCAGTCCTGGCAGAGCTCCAGTGCGAAAGGCGCCAGCCTATACAGCCGTGCTGGAACGGACGTAAGGGCGCCTGTCATGATATGACAGGTTGTGCTCCTCGACCCGAGATGGCTGGGTATGCCGGAAGACCCCACCCCGTGGTTGAGGGGCCAGCCTGCCCTGTAGGGGATCCGGCTACTACCCCTGAGTTGGGCAGGCCGGGACAAGGGGTGCCGAGTTTAAAAGGAAGGATCTCCCCACCCCCTAAGCCCTGAAACCCGCAAGGACGGAGGTGTGGCCCCCAGGAACCAACACCCTGACCGGGATAACCGTAACCCCAAACACCTTCGCCTTCCTTCTGGTGACTGGAAAATGGCTCTAAAAACTTTTAGAGTCACGCAAATTCAAGGGCCTTAGCCCGGGGCCCTAACAGAGTTCCCAATTTTTTGCCCACCTACTGCGGCGTGCTACCAAAACTCAAGGCTTATGTGTTGAGTCGGGCAAGCCGAAACAACGGACCGCAGGCTAGATGGGTATGCGCAGCATCGCCGTGGCCCACAGTCCTAACAGAGTTCCACTGCGGACGGCGCTAGTCTTGCCTATCTAATGCTGCTTGCCACCAGAACTCCAGCCTTACTTGTTGAATCGGGCCAGCCGAAACAACGGACCGCAGGCTAGATGGGTATGCGTAGCATAGCCGTAGCCCACAGTCCTGGCAGAGTTCCAGGGCGGACGGCGCTAGCCTTACCAGCCTAGTGCGGCTTTCTGCCAGAACTCCACCTTGCAAATGCATGTGGGGGGGGGGTCTATCCAAGGGGACAGTTAAGATGTCGAAAACGCTAATCCTCATTACCATATTCAGTGCAGCCAGTAAATAAGAAACGACCCCAAATCGAAAACACTGTGCCCAGCGAGGTGGATGAGCAGAGGAGAGGGCCTGCGTTGAAAACGCCGGCTCCCTCTCGTGGAGGGACACGTGGGGGAGGCGAGGGGGACAGGGCCTGCGTTGAAAACGCCGGCTCCCTCTCGTGGAGGGCGGCTCCCTCTCGTGGAGGGCGGCTCCCTCTCGTGGGGGGCGGCTCCCTCTCGTGGAGGGCTGCTCCCTCTCGTGGAGGGCGGCTCCCTCTCGTGGAGGGCGGTTCCGTCTCGTGGAGGGCGGTTCCCTCTCAGGGAGAACGGCTCCCTCTCCTGGAGGGCGGCTCCCTCTCGTGGAGGGCGGCTCCCTCTCTTGGAGGGCGGCTCCCTCTGTTTGGGGGGCGGCTCCCCCTCGTGGAGGGCGGTTCCCTCTCATGGAGGGCGGCTCCCTCTCGTGGAGGGCGGTTCCGTCTCGTGGAGGGCGGCAAGAGAAGGAGGCGGAGCGGGCCAGAATAGGGGATGGGGGGGGGCGGGCGAGAGAAGTGGAAGGGAAAGGGGTAAGGGGGCTGCCGAAAGTGAGGGGGAGAAACCTTCGCCTCAGTCCACTCTTGGACACAACACTTCCCTATTCTCTTGGCGTGACTGGGGAATTGCATTCGCCCCAGCCCACGCTCGGTCGAAAAGGTGGAAGGCACACCCACCAACAGCCATAGAAACATTCCGTCGTGACATGTTCACGACGTGATGGGGTCTGGGCCCTTCGGCCTTCCTCCAAAGGACTGGAAAGGTGGAAGGCGCACCCACCGACAGCCATAGAAATCGTTCTCCCGGGGGGTGGGGGAGGACGAGAGGGGAAGGGGAAGAGGAAGGAGGGAGAGGGGGGAGGGGGAGAGTGGGGGGTGTGAGGAGGAGAGGCCCTGCGTTGAAAAACGCCAGTTCCCTCTCGTGGAGGGCTGGCAGTGGGGGAGGTGAGGAGGAGAGCCTGCATTGAAAACGCCGGCTCCCTCTCGTGGAGGGCGCTCCCTCTCGTGGAGGGCTGCTCCCTCTCGTGGAGGGCGGCCCCCTCTCGTGGAGGGCGTCTCCCTCTCGTGGAGGGCGGCCCCCTCTCGTGGAGGGCGGCCCCCTCTCGTGGAGGGCGGCTCCCTCTCGTGGAGGGCGGCCCCCTCTCGTGGAGGGCGGCTCCCTCTCGTGGAGGACGGCTCCCTCTCGTGGATGGCGGTTCCCTCTCGTGGACGGCGGCTCCTTCTCGTGGAGGGCGGCACCCTCTCGTGGAGGCGTTCCCTCTCATGGAGGGCGGTTCCCTCTCGTGGAGGGCGGCTTCCTCTCGTGGAGGGCGGCTCCCTCTCGTGGAGGGCGGCTCCCTCTCGCGGAGGGCGGCTCCCTCTTGTGGAGGGCGGCTCCCTCTCGTGGAGGGCGGCTCCTTCTCATGGAAGGCGGTTCCCTCTGGTGGAGGGCGGCTCCCTCTCGTGGAGGGCGGCTCCCTCTCGTGGAGGGCGGCTTCCTCTCGTAGAGGGCAATGGGGGAGGTGAGGAGGGGAGGGCATGCGTTGAAAACGCGGGCTCCCTCTCGTGGAGGGCGGCTCCCTCTCCTCGAGGGCGGCTCCCTCTCGTGGAGGGCGGCTCCCTCTCGTGGAGGGCGGCTCCCTCTCGTGGAGGGCGGCGAAGCTTCCTCCATCCACGGCGTGGCAATGCCTACATCCACGGCGTGGCAATTCCTACATCCACGGCGTGATAATTCCCACATCCACGGCGTGGCAATTCCTACACGCACGGTGTGGCAATTCCTACATCCACGGCGTGGCAATTCCTACATCCACGGCGTGGCAATGCCTAC